AAGACCTTAAAAGAGCGTACTACAGGGATACTGCTACATCGATGTTCTGAAGTAAGTCTTCATGATGAAACAAAATCAACCTCTAACATACATCCTTAATATGTGATTTAGAATTGAGCATTCCTGCCATCCAAAACAGTTACAAGTATAAAGCATGAAATCTAATATACTGTGGCCTATATGTGTGTTATAAACTACAATGGAAGAGAGCAATAATTCCTAAAACAACAAAACCACCAGTTCTACACAATGCATAAATGCAAATCATAAATGCTTTAAATGGAGGATAAAACAGAATATGTAGGTGAAAGACACATGACTTTATAATATTGAAATATTTCCTACCATATTTAGTAAAACTTAGTTGCTTGCAAAAAAAATTAAGGATATGTTATGACTAATCTTTCTTATGTTTTTCATACCTACTCAAACATATAAACCTTGTATCCCTTTACTTAATAAACATAAGAAAAGACTTCTGTAATATCTTTAGATATTACTCAAATTTAGACAATATAAAAAAAAGTGGTGGGAAGCATGAACCATTACAGACTTTAGCAGTTTGATTTCTGCTAGAAGTCACCATGTGCCTGTTACTGATCTATAGACTTGAAGGTTTCTGTTCCTTCAGAAAACATCTCACCTGCTACAGAACCAACAGGAAGACCTGTTTCTGCTTCCAGTTTCCCCAAATCAGGACGAATAAATGGCCTTAGGGACAGACAGTGACAGAGGCCTGGCAGAGCAAGGGGACTGGCTCATCCAACAGTCTATGAAAACTCCTACCATGAATGGTTACAGACATAAAGTATGTGGCAAATAGCAAGAGAGAGGAGACCACAGTTTGCCAGGTTTTCATGTAAAGCCTGGTGCTGGATCGTGGATCCCTTGCCTGGAACTGTGTCATCCTGTGTGTTTACACAGGGAGTACATTAGCAACACAAAACAGATCAAGGATTTTATAAAGAGGATGAAGTTTACTAGAGTGAATATGGTCAGATTTGAAAGGCTTATGACGTCCCTCAGTTTGGTCTTCACGCTCCCATTTCCTTCTTACTAATTCACCCATATGGTCTCCTCTGGTGGCCTCTGCAGGATGAAAAACAAAACCACCATCATCTGGAACAACATCACCAGAATGACTCTCTTCTCCCTTCTCTTTAAGTGAAGAAATATAAAGTTGGAGAAACTGACAATCTTGAGCAAATAAAATATGGTGAGGTTTGTAGCAAATGAGATGCTAAAATAGTTGATTACTGCCCCAGCAATAAGAACAATTCTTACTTGTCACCTTGTTTTATATCATATTGTTTTATTTTATATTGTTTATATTGCTTGATTTCCTCATGGTAAACCAATTCTGGAGATGACTGAGGCAGGAACAATTCAATTACCTGAGGGGATCTTTTGTCTCTTGACCCAGCCATGGCAGTTCACCAGTGCTATGAAGACCATTGCAAAATTTCCAAAAGCAAACTTTGTCATTACTTAAATGGAAATGATGCTCAGTAGTGAAACTGAAATCTGGAAAAGAAATAAAAAATAAAATATTTCTGTTGTTTTTCATATTCTTAACCAATATCAAGCAGGAAAGCACCAAAATGTGCTAAATGATGAGCTCGTTCCTGTTTTTATGGAAAACACTCTTATTCCCCAAATAGATGAAAATAACTTTTATTTATGTACTTTATGATCTTACACAGGCTCCAATCTTTCATAGCAGATGTTGGAGCGAAAGCTGAGTTCTCATTTGCTAGGATGCAAATGAAGACAAATTCTCTTTCATAGTTTGGCAGCTTTTTCACCTTCTCTAACCTATGCATAATTTGGCATATCAAGGTTAAATGTCAGCTAAAAAAATTTAAGCCCTAATAAATTAACCATGAAGGAAATGTCTAAACTAATAGATAGCCCTTGGTTATCTGGTGATGACTTGAATGGTTTATTGCCACCAAGGGTTTATTTTAACACAATCACTAGAACCATATAGAAGGGTTAAAAGACATTGATATGGAGGCTTTCCAAGGTTTTCCTATCAAAAGTTTCTTTCTTCCAGTAGAAACCTCCAAAAATTGGATCCTGATAACCAATACTTACATTCATCTTATAGTTTTCAAGCCATAAATGTAAACACATGCACTCATCACAACTACCCATACAATTCATTTGATCTCTGAAAAATTAAAAAACTATAAGATGTAAATTATTATTGTATAATTTCCAAAATGAGTCTCAGAAAACTTATTGAGATTTAAATCACCTTGTTTTGCCTCAGGCTTCTTAACTGACAATATTTACCACGTATATCTCTCACACTAAGGTCTTTTACAAAGGGTTCTGTACTAAGTATATTTAATTTATATTTAATTATATGTAATAAAAATACTCCAAAAAATTTACAGTATTCCTGAAATCCATTGGGATTTTCCTTGGATCCTAGAATTTGGACACAATAGCTACCACAAGAAATTGATCCTATCTTCTCAAAAGCCACATATTTGTCTACATTCATTCTGATCTTCTTTTATATCTACATTTATTCAGATCTTCTTTTATATCTATGTTTATTTATATCTTTTTTTTCTTAATAACTGCCTCAATAAAATCTGAAATGTGAGACTTATTTTCAGGCCCTGTCTCATTTTTGTTGCTACTGTGAAAAAGTCTAATTTCAAATTACATATTCTAAATAGTCTTTACTAATGAATAGTTGTACCTTTATATATTTGGAAATATTGCTAAGAATATTTTATTCTATTTAATAATCTACTAGCAATTTCTTTATGGATTACATTGTATTATTCAAAGGTAAAACACTGTCCAAAAAAAAAACAACTATTTTGTCATTTTCATTCAAATTTTCATAAGTTTTTCTTTATTATCTCTCCTAATTGTACAGGCAAATAACTAATACACAGCTCTTCTTAATATTGGAATTAGTATAAAATATTTTACTTCTGACCATTAAGTATAATGTTCTTGTATTTGGTTAATACACACCAGTTTGGGGTTATTATTTATTTTCTTCCATGCATACTAGTTTAGTGAAAATTTAATCAAATGATACTTTAACATCTTTTAATTGTCAGAGTTCAATCAGAAGACAAATCATGAAGAAATTTGACCACTAAACTTTTAACATGAATAATATTTTATTATACTAGGGGGTAGAATAATGAGGGATTGATTGGAACCAAGTAAAGATGACTCTACAGAATGTAGAAATAGCAAAGAACAACCATTATACCTAAGGCTAAGACATGGCACCCAAAAGAAGACTTACTTTCTTTCTCTCTCTCTCTCTCTCTCTCTCTCTCTCTCTCTCCTCCCCCCACCCTGCCATCCACAACCTAGATGCCCTTCAATAGATGAATGGATAAAAAAAATGTGGCATTTATACACAATGGAGTATTA